TAATACATGAAAGTGGTTTAAGCGTTTGCCTATCTTTCAAAATGTTTTGAAAAAGAATAATCGTGGGATGGTTTCTATAAAATAAAGATAATCCAATCGCAGCTACGGCATTCTTTTAATAAAACAACCATCAAAAGTCAAAAATGAAAGAAAATTAAGTTTTTTAACAAAATAAAAAAAAAAGGATTATGTCGGATGTGGGCCCTAAACAACGTGGGAAGCCCCCCCCCCCCGCGTCGCGAGGTCTGGCTACCAATAAAACATATTAAATTTGTGTATGTGCCATATCGCCATGGACATTTTTAGGATATAACGAAATCTAATAGAGGAATATAAACAACACTGTGCTAGAGAAATGCACCGAGTTACCTGGTTATCTTCTGTATGTTAGGGGAAACAACTCTTAGAACACAACAATTATTAATGTTAACAAACGGTGGTCGTCACGGTGTATATACATTTGTATTGAATTAAAAACATAAAAATGTTAAGTCTATATGTGCACATAAGAATGCATATATTTTTTCTCTCGTTATGGAATACATTTTAGTTTTTAAAAATCAAAATTTAAACGCTCATAAGTTGTTTTATCATACTTTATTAATACTCCTCTAATGCTTAACTTGGATTCAAATATTTTTCTTTACAAAACTAAATGCAACTGTAATCTATAATATTTAGATTTTACTAAATAAAAATCCACTAACGGGTTGGAGCTATATTATGTTATTTTTAAAGATTTGAAGTATGTAGACACATGTCTAAACATAACTAGTAACACAAATGCTATAATTTACGCTTCGTACCAAATAATATAACTTGCTTACATACAAACACGCCGACAATCAAAGAATGCAAAAAGAGGACGGTCTTATTTTGTGTTTACAAATGAGTACGCTTTAAAAATTTCTATTTGAGTCGTACGCTTATATTTATTGGTATATAAAACAAAAGTTACATTTATGTAATTATAAAGTAAAAATCATTTGATGCGTTATCAACAAGCTCCTTTGCACAATTAGTTTTAACTTTTTCGCGCAGTTTATTTTCCACGAACATCTACACTCGCTAATCAAATTTTCGCTCGCATATCAAAGCACATTTTAGCTTGCTCAACTGCTCGTATCACAAGTCTCTTATATCGGGGCTCTCTTAAGTAAAGGTCTCCACTTTAACAAACAACCGTACACAAGTCTCTTATATCGGGGCTCTCTTAAGTAAAGGTCTCCACTTTAACAAACTACCGTACACAAGTCTCTTATATCGGGGCTCTCTTAAGTACAGGTCTCCACTTTAACAAACAACCGTACAACTCAATGTTTTCAAAGATACTATACTGATGTAAAAGTAGATATTAAACAATTGAAAGCACACGTGGTAAAATATTTTACATTTTTGGTTTAGTATAAAGAAAAGTGGTATTGTAAAAATGTGTTCACTTTCCAACAGACATTGTACATGAGGTTGTACAAGATATTGCGAGTCTGTTTTCTATTGTCAGAAAAATTAGCACATGTCACTATATAAGAGCTGCTTATACTACAATCCATTAAATTATAAGACTAAAAAGTGCGTTATTGGCTGTAAAAATATATCAGATTCACTCAGAAGCGATGTTGGAAATGTTACATTTGACCCACACCATACATTTTGTTGTAACGACAAAAAAAAAACAACATGAAAAGTGGAAACAAAAAACGAAAACTATCAAACGATAATAGTGACCAAAAATGTGACATAATTTGCACATTTAAATCCATCCGAAAATATTTTTATATAAAACATTAAATAAGAGAAGAATGATGGACAATAAATCAAACAATATAAGGTTACCTCTAAAATACTTCATATTAAAAGAATAGGAAAATAAAACAAAACAAAAATGAATAATACTTTTGCTATTATCACACTTATTAAATTAAATAAAATTGATCAGAATCATGTATCTGTGCCAGAGGCGTAGCGACCCTCCCGGCGCCCGGGGACAAACTTTAAATTTGGCGCCCCCCCCCCCCATATCAAACTTTCGATTTGCACACCTCCACCCCTCAAACTATTTATAATAAAAATGCAGCTAAATGATACTTTTTTTTTTACAACCCATTTTGGCGCCCCCTAAGGTCGGTGCCCGGGGACATATGTACCACCTGCCCCCCATCGCTACGCCTTTGCTCTGTGCTAAGCTCACCGTTAAAAGAGAAAGGCTTATACTATAATTCTATTGCTTCGATATTATAAATGAAGGGGACTTAAATTAATTTACATTTTTGAAGGGAAATAACTTTCTTACTCTTTTGTTGATTAAAGTCTACCTAAGCTGTACAAAAACAATATACAACTATTATATTTTTATAATAATTTTCTAATAACAAGTTATGCATTCGTAAATGTCTTTAAATAGATACGTTTCTATATATAAATGTATAAAAATTGCTTTTGTATTTAAAATCCTAAGAACCAGATAAGTATGTTATATATTTTGTTATATACTTTAAGCCTGATCTTTAATCTACGGTAAGTGCAGTCTTTATTAGGCGTCAATTATTTCATTTTCGAAAACGTATAAGTAATGCAAAAATTATCACTAGAAAAGAACGTGGCATCACTTAAAACAAAATTGATTTTAATTGGGATTAATGTAAACTGTTTGTGTAAATTATGTGCATATGATATTGTGCTTATGCAGTTATGTTTGACTTTTTTGGATTTAAAAAAAAAAAATAGAGTAAAAGTTACTGCTAAAATGATTAAAATGCTGAATAGAACAGTTTGCATATCTCCGCTAATAGGTTAAAGACATCTAATTAATACAAATAAAAGCACTATATCTTGCGGTGCTAGATCAGAGTCAAATCATACTAATATAACATATAATATATATAAGTGTAAAAACAGTTACATGTTATTTACTTTAATTTAAATGGCAACACCCGCAGCTCAAGGTGACAGTGCTATCCACCGCTATATAGAACTGAAATATTACAGATCAAACATGGCTGTATGATTGCTATTAAACTGAATGTGAACCAACACAGATGCATATACTCTTTAAACCTGCTGATCTAGCAAACTTAAACTATGCAACAGGAGCTGCGTATACATCAATACTTGCAAGTGTACAACTAATCAGTGCTTTATATTGCTGTTAAAATATATCAGCAACAATCAGAAGAATTGGAGAAAATGTTACATCTAACCCACGCAATTGCTGTTCTTGTAACGACAAAGAAATCATGAAAAGTGGAGGAAACAAAAAAAAATAATTATTTAATGATAATAGTGATCGAAAATGCAAAATAAAAAAAAATAACACATGTAAATCCACCCTTATTTTGTTCAAATAAAATTTTAATGGAGTTGAAAAAAATAATTATGTATGTATTAACAGTGTCAGTTTGCCTTTATGTGTGCTTTAGTATTACATTTTTCATTATCGGCTTGTGAGAATTGATACAGATTTACAATAGTAATACTTATTTCTTACATGTAGCCTACTTTCATTCATTTAAGATGGTTTACTTATACATTTATACATTACATGTCTAAGGCGAAAAGATATATTTCTGGGAACTAAAATGTCAAACATGTAAACAGAATATACAAGAAACTGTGATACACATTTATTAAGATTGTACTTTAGTAAACAAAGCAAATCAAACACTTGCGAAAATATTTAAAAAATCACCAATCAAATAGCTAAAACAAATAAAGCAATCACACTTAACTAACACATCTAGACAAATAACAGAAGGCAAAAACAGACTTGTGGCAACGGCTATTTATAGATATATATGGAAATATTGGAAGAAAATCGTATTTTATTCTAAAAAAATACCCTGCCTCGAGTTCAAAGAAATATTTCAAGAAAAGCTGAGACATAACTAAGACAGTGTTGTTAATAAACATATAAATGTCTAAAATATTTGAGTGTTACTGAACCTTTTCGTACTATATTTTTTTCTGTTATGTAAAATTCACAATTGTAACATTTGTTTTGCTTTTGTTTAATATATTTTATTTTTAATAATATTTTAAACAATACATAATACCTATTTATTTCTGAAGGTGTTTGTTTTGTGTTGCTTTCATTTCGTCTTTTCTGTCAGACTTTCAGACACCAAACAATAGTACAGTACATAGGCACACATCAATTATACCAACAATACAACATCACATAACTGTTTATATTATCAATGTCAATATTCCCAAAAATATATTTCTACACCAGGGTCAATGTAAACCAAGATTAGCAGCACAGACATGAGTACACCCTACAGTCCTGACAATCATCTGATACATTTCTATACAAACGTTGTCCTGTTTGTCTATAGAACGATATATAGGAAATTTAAATCCGCCCAAGAACATTTTAAATGCAACATTTAAATAAGTGAATAATGGCTGACAGCAAAACAAACGATATAACATTACCCCTAAAGTTTAGGGCCTAAAATATTTCTTATTAAATGAATAGGAAAATAATACAATACAAACAAATAATGCTGTTGCAATTGTTTGCCGTAATTATTCTATACACAATAATTACATAAAATAAAATTAATTAGACACATTGTCATGTCTATGTGCTAAGCTCACCGATTAAGTTAGATACGTAAATGAGAATACTGTTGCTGAAATGTAATAAATATAAATCTATAAGGGAAACAACTTACACATTCTTTTGTTGATTAATCTGTGCATTAGTAGTACACAATAGTATACATCTATTAAACTATTATATTCATTTTCGTATACTAACTAAACCGTTCGTATAAACCATTTAATAGATTTGTTTAGATATCAAAATATAACAAAATTGATTTTATATTTACAATTGCGAAAACCGTTTAAAGATGTTTTATATTTTGTTATATACCTTGTGAGACTATTCTCCAATCAATTGGTGATCTTGTAAGATCTACTTTAAATTATTCTTATTTTGATACGAGAATTTAACAAAAAATAAATATGAATGGAGACTAACAAAAGTTTATTTCTTCTTTAATGGGCAAGTTGTAAGTGAAGTATTTTAAACTGTCAACAATCTAGAACGTTTTTCTCTGAACAAATATCAAGGTGGCTAGTTTGTAAACTTTCATGAAGTAGCATGGCTGAAAGACCAGAAGATTTAAATTTGCCCAATGCAGTGGTCGTCCGAATAATTAAAGATGCACTCCCGGAAGGTGTCAATGTTTCCAAGGAAGCCAGGCTAGCTATATCTAAAGCTGCCAGTGTATTTGTTCTCTATGCTACATCTTGTTCCAAAAACTTTGCTGTAAAAAACAAACGAAAAACAATCAACGCCCAGGATGTATTAAGTGCTATGGAAGACATGGAGTTTGAGCAGTTTATTGAACCTTTGCAGCAGTGCCAAGAAGCTTTCCGCTTGGAGAAATCTGAGAAAAAGAAAGACAAAGCACCCAAGCCAGCTCCAGCTGCCCCAGAGATCATAGAGGACAGTGACAAGGACGTGGAGGAAGTCAGTGATGAAGATGACACAGCAGCTGGCCAGTTGAAAAGCGCAGACTTTGAAATCACATTAAACAACGACACCAGTGAGAGCAGCCCATAAATTGTGGAGGATGTGGATGATTGATGTGGGTGTTAGGGATGAGTGGTGTGGTTTTTTTTATGTAACAGAAAGTTGAGGTAATGTTACTGTGGGGAGGGGGATGGGGCTGGTTGACAGTTTAAATGAGAAATATGTGTGAAGACTGAGACATTTTGAATTGCATGAATGTATGCTAGGAATTTACATTGCTTCATTATTCATACCATTTTGATTGTATTAGATATTTGTAAATAAATTCAAAATTTAAAAAAAAAAAAATCGATAAACGATAAAAACATGTTGTCTGAGACTTGGCGGGACACTGGGCAGGTGAAGTAGAGTTGAGTAGGTCACCTGTGACGTCAGTATATGAAGGGATAGTCCGAAATCGGTGTTTTCGGTGTTTTTAAAAGATAAAAAACATATTTTTGAATGTGGGGTCTGTTTTTTGTGACGATAAGTGGCACTGCAGTAGCGTAGCGAGAAGGGGGGGGGGGTGGGGGGACATATGTCCCCGGGCGCCGACCTTAGGGGGCGCCAAAATGGGTTGGAAAAATAAATTGAAAAGTTAAGGGGGTGCACATAAAAAGTTTGGGGGGGTGTTGCAAATCAAAATCCTGCGGGGGGGGGGGGGGGTTCAAATTGAAAAGTTTGTCCCCGGGCGCCGTTAAGGGTCGCTATTTCTCTGAGTGACAGACGTGATGTTTTTTTATGGATGACCCCCGAAACCCACAGTTATCCAACGGATGACGGGTAGTCTAGTGTTAGTCTAAAAGAAATGACCAAATCCTGCTATTTTTTTTCTAGTGCTAGAAAAGTTAGCAGAGGTAGCTTTAGCTCCAGGACCTGACTATACAGCAATATGTTTAAATATAAGACGGAAATAAAAAATATATCAGCAACAATCAGAAGAGATGAAGACAATGTTACATCTAACCCACACCATAACTGTTTTTGTAGCGAATAAAAAAGAAAATACGCCAATAGTCTAATGACCCAGTAAGTTTCTTCTAGTGAGTATATGTGGTTGCAATATACGATATTTTGAAATGTGGCTTGTTTTTGGCTTTGTCTTTTTAAAAAATCTATTTTATACAATTATCGTCATTTTCCTTACTCGCATACGAAGTGTAGATACATTATTGTAATCGTGCAAAACTCGAAATTGACATGTAATCAAATCTTGAAGTTTTATATCCCCGTGAGTCTAAAAAAACATGTTTTCCGAATGTCTGTGTGTGCATGTGTGTGTGCATGTGTATGTGTGTGTGTCTGTGACTGTGAAACACGAAAACTTGAGTACCGTTTTAACTAGGTTGATGTCATTCCGTATACCTTTTATATCAATAGAGAGAGAGAGAGAGAGAGAGAGAGAGAGAGAGAGAGAGAGATAGATAGAGAGAGATAGAAAGACTGGAGACGGAATGAAATCTGACATCTATGTTTGTAAAGCAAAACCTTCTATTAGATGCAGATTTCTGTATTTGACAAAAGATAAAAACCGGTCGTGAGTACCCGCTAAAGACCACTAGAAAAAAAAAAACTTACCTCGAAATTCCCAGCCCTTTTCCTGTAGCAACTCTCTGTCATTAGTAGTAAATATTATGTCGGAACGTCGATAAAAGTTTGCTAATGACGACAGTTACAGTTCGGTAGTGGCGATGATACGAATTCACATGTGACGACGATAACAACTATCTGGTGACAACGATGAAAGTCTCAGGCAATAAACACCTTATATGGTAAACATTTACCCTTAAGTAATACCAGGGACTGTGGCAAGTCTCAGGCTTTCTTAAAAATTAAAGAAGTTCAAGTCAAAAAGAAGCTTGATGAAAACTGTAATACTAAAGCGAACATGGGAAGGTAATCTGCTGCAAGACTAAGATATATATTCGTCTTCCTTCTAGGTTCATTGCCTTTTTTGGATGAGGTTAAACATCGCCATGTTTTCAAATATCGCGATGCAAACCCCGTTCTCTCTCCTCTTACTTAGTAATCACATCGTCTACCCATTGTTTACAAGACTCTTACAAAGAATAAATATCACACCCCTCTACTTGAGACATAAAATACAAAAGTGTATTGTGCCTTGTCGTCACAGAAAACAAAAAAGGGTGGCGTCTAATGTTGTTAACCCTTGACTTCCTAAATTATTTTTTAACTTGTTAAAGAAATTGAATGTTTAGTTAAGGATTCTGACGCGAATATGTTTCACAAGGGATGATACTCGTGGCTGTAAACAAGGCTGTTCTAATTTTAGAACAGTTGTCTTTCCTCTCGTTTCTCTACTAGGGAAGACACGCGACACGACTTTTAAAATGTAAACAAAAGTGCACGAGGTGCACTTAAACTAAACCCCGCTGCGAAAATGACAACGGCATGGTGACACTTTTTGGAAAACACGCTTTCATGTAAATAAAATAAGGATCGCTTTTGTTGTCACCATGATAATGTATACCTATAAGTTCTCTCCGCCTTTATCGACCTAGTATGAATTTTGCGCGCGCGCGCGTGTATGTGTGTGTGTGTGTGTGTGTGTGTGTGTGTGTGTGTGTGTACGTGTATCTCAAAAAAGCGTATCATGTCAACACCTGGGCAACAAGTCATAGTCAAAAAGGCCTAATTCATTACAGATCTATTGGAAACCCCTCTTTACATGTACTTACGTTAGGAAAAGTAAACTCGGTTGAATCAAAAATGTATTTAAATATATAGAGTTATAGAACCTTAAAGTTAACAGATAATGAAAAAAATAAAATTAAAAATTAAAATTAAAATCCATTAATTTTAAAAACTCATTAAAACTAATTAAAAACACGATCAAATTACGTAACTCGTTAATAAAAATTAATTAAAATTTTAAAAAGTCATTAAAACTAATTAAAAACTTATTAAAATTACGTAACTAGGTCACCTGCGGTGATTACGTCACAAGGTCACCGGTGGCGACCTACTGACCTACTGACCTACTGACCTACTCCCCATCCGCATCCCTGCGCATCCTCATCATCCCCATACGCATCCCCATCCCCATCCCCATCCGCATCCCCATCCGAGTATTTTACTATATGTCTTTGCGCCTGCGGCTCCTTCACCCTGCGCCTGCGCCTGCGCCTGGAGTATTTTACTATATCTCGTTGTTCCTGCGGCGCCTGCGCATCCCCCTGCGCATCCGAGTATTTTACTATATATCCTTTGCGCATCCTGGGTGCGCCTGCGCCAGCGGATACGACCCAAAAGGGACTTAATATACTACTACTACTAATATTCACCAATCTCGAAGTTCTATACCCCCCGTGAGTCGGATTTTTTTTTTCAGAATGTCTTTCTCTCTTTCTCTCTCTCTGTGTGTGTATGTGTGTCTGCCTGTGTATGACTGTGAACACGATAACTTTAGTACCGTTATAGCTAGGATGCCATTCCATATGCCTTTTATATTAAGAGAGAGTAAAAGAGAGAGAGAGAGAGAGAAAGAGATAGAGAGAGAGAGAGAGAGGAGACTGGAGACGGAATAAAATCTTACATCTAAGTTTGTAAAGCAAAACTTTCTATTAGATGCAGATTTCTGTATTTGACAAAAGATAAAAAACCGGTCGTGAGTACCCGCTAAAGACCAATAGAAAAAAAAAAAACTTACCTCGAAATTCCAAGCCATATTCCTGTAGCAACTCTCTGTCATTGGTAGTAAATATTATGGTGTCAAAGTTCAGTAGGTACGTCGTTTAAAGTTCGCTAATGACGACAGTAACAGTTCGGTAGTGGCGATGATACAAATTCAGATGTGACGATGATAACAACCATCAGGTGACGACGATGAAAGCCTCAGGCAATAAACACCTTTTATGGTAAACATTTACCCTTAAACAATACCAGCGACTGTGACAAGTCTCAGGCAATAAACACCTTATATGGTAAACATTTACCCTTAAAAAATACCAACGACTGTGACAAGTCTCAGGCAATAAACACCTTATATGGTAAACATTTACACTTAAACAATATCAACGACTGTGACAAGTCCCGGTAAATTGCGATCGCTACAGTGGTTGATGTTTTTGTACGGCCGGTCTATTTGTAAGTTCTTCTTGTTTTTACTGGCCACCAGCTGTTAAGGTCGACTTTAAGAAGTACAAACAACAAACTACACAAAATTTGGACCACAGTATTAGTGTGGGCCTACACCCGTAATATATTCGCCTAGCCCTCTGTCCAAATCAGCCCATCAACTCTTGTTCACACACCTAGTAAACTGAATACCAACATTTGGTCTAAGGGGAATAACACAACAACGTGGGACTGAACACAACTCATATACTCACTATAAACAATGACTTACCAAGCCTTAACCCGACGCGTAACAATAACAGTATTCACGTCCACCACTGAAATAACAATACACGTGAAGAAAACACGTCCACTCCCTCCCCTACCCAGCAACAGAAAAAAAAAATAGAACTACATGTCAATCACACCAAACATAAGAACATTACATACCTATTCTCTAGCTGTAAAATATGCATGCCCATCATAGAAACTATCTGCTACATCTGTAATGGTAAACTGGGTACAACTTTATAAACACAAGTCAGCACTGACTATTATCAATACCGGATTTTATTATGTATGTTTGCTTTCAACTTTAACTGTTAGCCGTTCATATAGTACAAAAGAATATCACATTTAAAAACAAATACACGTCTTTTCGTACGTATTTACAAGTTCTAGCTATATTGGTCTATCCCCACCAACTTCAGAACTGAATTAATCATTACGCGCTTTTAGAAAGCATGTATTTGTGATACAAAGATTTTAACAATAATCAAATATACATAGAATTTAGCGTATATGAGATAACGCATTATTTTTAAGAAAGAAAGCTAAGTTTAACATATTTTAAAACATTCTTTTAAGATATACAACTGCTAAGAAAGTGTACGATATTTAAATAGATTTAATTGATTTAAAACAATCTTGTGTAGCTCTACGTTACTGTATTAAATCCGATAAATGACAGCTTACTTATGAAGTAAAAAAAAAAACAAACAAAAAAAAACAATATATTTTCTTTCAAAATTTAACAAAATACCCGTGGGCCCACATCCCAAACCGCAAATATAATTATAAACATTATGCTTTGCCATAGATCGCAGTAATAGAAAATTATTGACAAAGTAGGCCTAGTGTTTAGGTAAAGGTAACTCTTGTATTTTTTTACGCAGGGGAAACAATCAAATATTAGTACATTAATTTAAGAAACACAACAAAAAAAAGAATAGCAATAAAATAAAATATACTATTTTTAATAACAAAACATAAAATAAATATTGTATTTAATTATTTTTTAAAAATAATGATGTAAAATGACATTATCTATAAATAGTCCCTTTTATATTGTATCTAACTCTAAATGTAAAACTTTTGTCAGATTACAGTACTTAATGCTAAATATATTGTGATTTTTATTTTGATCACACTCTCCTATATCTCTAAATTTTTTTTCGATAACTGTTTGATTTTTTCTAAGTAAATTATAGTATTAATGCCTGGTCTACGCTTTGCATTTGTATATTTATTTTTGACAAGTGAGAAGAAAGATAAAAAGAATGAAAAACCAGAAGTATCGTTAGATAATTCAACATGTGTTTATATTTTTCCAAATGGAGATCGTTATGAGGGTGAATGTACGCAGACAGATTTGGGTTCCATTGAAAGAAGCGGACAAGGAACACATATAAGCTCATCTGGTATTATATATCAAGGTTCTTGGAAGAATGACTGTATGAATGGAAAAGGAAAACTCACCCACCCATCTAATGCATCGTATGAAGGAGAATTTGTAAACAACCAATTTCATGGTTTTGGAAAATATACTTGGTCAAATGGGTCATACTATGAGGGAAATTTTGTGGAAAATATGTTGTAAGGAGAAGGGGGATATCATGATACAGAAGGGCAAATATGGACAGGAACATTTCATTATAAGGCAGCTCCAGGGCTTAAGTTCAAGCTTCAGCTGAACTGATCTGTAGATATGGTGTGGATAAAAGCTAAGACAACTCACTTTAAATGTACATTAAACAGCTACACTGATTTGTTGATGTAGACTAAAGCTAAGACAAAACAAATGTTTAATTAACATTGAAATGTTTATATCATCTAAATATCTATGGTGTAAATTTACTGCATCCTTTTTTAAAATTACTTTTACAATTGTAAAGCTTTTTGATAGGATTCTATTATACCCTATAGTTTGGATTAATTTAGACTATAGCTCTTGGAAACACATTTTCTACAAGATACAACAGAATCAAGTTAAAGGTTTAACTTTTTAAACATCTCCCCACGGAAATCAAAATCAACTTTAAAATGTGAATCTTTTACAATACAAAATTTATGTTTTGGTTATTTTTTTTATTTTTTACACTTTTGAAGTGACATATGTGAAATCTGTATTAGCTATTACATTGAAGGAAAACAAGCTGAGCAAACGCATTTAGGCAACGTGTTTTGAATGCTTTTCATAGAAAAAACATACATATGATTTGAATAGAAAAATCTAATGCATTGTTTGATGATATCATGAGATAACTATTTTATTTACATTAATAAATATTGCCTGGTCAAGTGCTTGTCTTTAAAAAAAAAAAAAAAAAAAAAAAAAAAAAAAAAACAATATTAATGGATGAATAGGACGATAGCATCTAGATCAGGGGTCGGCAACCTTTTGAAGCGGAAGAGCCAAAAGTTACAATTTTCAAAATTTCCCTGGTTTTAAAGAGCCACTAACATTTTTTTTTATTTCAAATATTTTTTTTTAATTACGATTATTAGTATTTGTTCAAGGAGCTGGAGAGCCGCATCTTGATATCAAAAGAGCCGCATGCGGCTCGCGAGCTGCAGATTGCCGACCCCTGATCTAGATCTAAATGTGCGAACGTAGAACTTAAGCTAAAAAAAAAAAATATATTAATGGATTTTAATTTAAACCAAAACTAAATTACAAATTAAACAAGTGTATAACGAAAAAAAGAAAACACCTTTGGATGGGCAGACTGGCGACTTTAACCCCGACCCCAACCACCACACAATTAAAAAACTTCTTCATAACCGTATGTCGCTGTTTCTTTACAGAACTCTGATTATGCCAGCTTACTACTTTATAACCCCCACCCCTACCACTAAACGTTTCTATGTATTATATGTATATTTAAGAATGAAAGAGATGAAGATAGCGGAGGTTTGTAAAACACCCACATACAGAATTGAGCTTTATATATATAATATATTGTCCAACAATGTCACAGCCTAGCTCGACGACATATGCAAATATAGTCTACGCCAGCAAAGGGGTTGCGCCCTTGGATGTTCCCCCTGGGTCGAGAGACTTGGGGAGGAGCCACCCGGACTACGGTCCGGGGTGTTTAATGAAATTCAGGGCCCAACCCTTTTCAGCCACAACCGCCATACTGGATCTACCTGAAGAAGACTGCCCGGAACTTTTCCCTGCTGACTCACCCACCATCCAGGTTACAATCAACTCAAAAGGTCAACCCAATCTGAGGGGTCATATCCTTCGCCAATTAATAAGCAATCAACAGATCTTCCTCCTTAACTACGGCCGTGCAGACACTTGGTTCTTTACATCAATTGCCTTCGACGTCACCACTCTACATAATACACACAAAACATACGGCCCATATACGCTACACTTCACTTTACACGAAAAGGACAGAATAAACGGAACCCTTAGATGGGTCCCACCCACACTCAACGAGCGCGCTCTCATACAAGCACTACAACCCTACAGCAACAAAGAACCTTCCATAAACACAATCCCCCACACCACCAACCGCAGCTTCTCCATTTACACTGACAACCCAGCAACCATACCCCACTACATTCAAATAAACTACAAAAACAAATCACTCAACATTCTAATAGCCATCAACGATAGAAAACAAGCCTGCCAAACCTGCTCATCAACCTCACACTGGACGAACCGCTTTCAAGCTCTCAACCCAGAATCAATGCCCAGTGATCAAACACCAGCACAAACTGCAGCTGCACCCGATCCACAAGCCCCCATGCCAAGCAATCACCAATAACCAAAACCCCTCAATCAAAGACGCAGAATCGAACCCAAAAACACCGCCCAAAAAAAAAGCCTCCAGCACAAAAACCAGCGCCACCCGCCCAGCCAGCACCAATACCAAGCAGCCAACAAGCAAATACAGCTAATGAACCAACAACCTCAAGTACAAGCACATCGAAATCTCCAACCATCAAGCAACTGCATCAAAAGTACCCATACCAAATTTTGCCTCACCACTCGCGCTGAGCCCGGACACTTTCACGTTTACGGCGACGCCAACCTATAAAACTAACGACCCTAGCCTAAGTGTAGAAATGAGTGACAGCACACAATCAAAAAGGAAAAAGGAAGACAGCCCCACAGACACAAAAACAGTAAAAATTCTAAAAACTACAGAGGCAAAGCTAAAAACGAAGAGTCAAAAAACCGAAAAGTTGGTACAAGGGGAAGTAACAAGCCCTAAAGAATTCACGAAACAAAAATATGATCGTCGGACCTGCCTTTTCTGCCTTAAGTCGTACCAAACAATCAAGGAAGCTAGAGAGCATGAAAATGCAGAACATGCTAAGTTGAAACAGTGCAACACCTGCAAGGATACAATTGTGCACAATAACCTAGCAAAACACTGTCAGGTAAAACATACTGAAATTTTAACAAGTTGTTGCTTTTGTGATGTACTCCTGCTAAAACGAAGCTTTCTTCAGCATATGGAAGCACACCATTCTGATCTCTTAACCCAGGAGCAGAAAGATGGTATAAGAAACGTTTCACATCTTGTAGAGTAGTTTCTTCAAATATAGAACTCTGTTAACTTTATAGACGTTTTGTATTAGAAATGTAACAGCTTGTATTATTATTATTATATGTATATATTTTTATGCAAACCTACTCTTGCTGCCAACCCTTGGAAAGGGAAAGCAGCAAGAGAGGAACAATATTAAACGCCAACAAAAAAAAAAAAAAAAAAAAACTATGGCAGAGCTGACACCTAGTAAAACTAATATTTAATAAAATACTTAAAAAAAAAAAAACTTTTTTTAAAAACCACGTTTTTCTTGTGGACTAAAAAGTAGAAAATAATTTTTTCTTCCGACCCTAGGGGTTCTACCAATGACTGCTCTTAGATTTTGTGCTTCATCGAGCTGTGCAGGTTCTTGTGATGACTGTTCATACATTTGATGACAAATAACGTGGGTACGTTCACCATCAAATTTCCCGACCCATCTGCCCGACCCATCTGTCGCTAAGCATCTGGTAGGGTGAACGATAATTTAACAGACCTCTATACATTATGCGTGTTTGGTTTATGTTTCGTTATATGGCACAACGAAAAAAGAAAATTTTTGTTTGCATTTCAATGCTGGGCATTAATTAGAAACATATATTATAGGTTTATAGGCATAGTAAATAATTGTCTGGGCCTAAATCAACTTAAAACAAATTCTAATTACATGTTAAACTATATAAAAATCCATTGAAAAGTTTTATTTTAAACTGAGATATCACAGTCAGTGTTTATATGATATATATGGAATATTCAAATCACGTTGTGGGTAAGGCAGTTGATGGAACCTCCACAGTTTTATCACATAGTTTATCTAATAAATGATATTAAGAAAGATTACTACGAGTTGATGTATTTTTTGATTGTACTTCTAGAGTACCAGTCGACAGTATTGGGTCATACACGTGAAGAGGAACAGATAGTATATTTAATACTGGAGGTTAGCCATGAGACCAAGAAAATTTAAAAGAAAAGACAAGATATTGCTAGTCTGTTTTCTATTGTCAGAAAAGTTAGCACATGTCACTATATAAGAGCTGCTTATACTACAATACATTAAATTATAAGATTAAAAAGTGCGTTATTGGCTGTAAAAATATATCAGATTCACTCAGAAGCGATGGAGGAAATGTTACATCTGACCCACACCATAAATTTTGTTGTAACGACAAAAAAAAAAAAAAAAAAAACATGAAAAGTGGAAAAAAAAATCAAAAAACTATCAAATGATAATAGTGACCAAAAATGTGACATAATTTGCACATTTAAATCCATCCGAAAATATTTTAAATCAAACATTAAATAAGAGAAGAATGACGGACAATAAATGAACAATATAAGGTTACCTCTAAAATACTTCAAATTAAAAGAATAGGAAAATAAAACAAAACAAGCATGAATAATTATTAAATTATTAAATAAAATAAAATGGATCAGATTCATGTCTCTGCCAGAGGCGTAGCGACCCTCCCGGCGGCCGAGGACAAACTTTCAATTTGGCGCCCCCCCCCACCTCAAACTTTCGACTTGCACCCCTCCCACCCCCCCTCAAACTTTTGATTTGCACCCCCCCCCCTCTCAAACTATTTATAATGAAAAATGCAGCTAAATGATATTTTCTTTTTTAACAACTCATTTTGGTGCCCCCTAAGGTCGGCGCCCGGGGACATATGTACCCCCTGCCCCCCCCCCCCCCCCCCATCGCTACGCCTCTGCTCTGTGCTAAGCTGACCGATTAAGAGAAAGGCTTATACTATAATTCTATTGCTTCGATATTATAAATGAAGGGGACTTAAATTAATTTACATTTTAGAAGGGAAACAACTTTCTTACTCTTTTGTTGATTAAAGTCTACCTAAGCAGTACAAAAACAATATAGAATTATTATATTTTTATAATAATTTTCTAATAAGAAGTTAAACATTCGTAAATGTCTTTAAAAAGATACGTTTCTATATATATATATATATATGTATACATTGCTTTTGTATTTAAAATCCTAAGAACCAGATAAATATGTTATATATTTTGTTATATTGTTTAAGCC